CTTTCAGTTGTTAAATGAGTCAAAATTTTCTGAATGTTTTAATTTAATTATGAGAAATTCTCATTTGAAATACTTACTTGTCTTGATGATACACTCATTTGTTTACTTGAATCGACACTATTTGGCCATTCATCTTCTAATAAATGAATTGGACAATTAGTTTTTTTTTGTTAAACGTTTATTAGGTTCTGGATTGAATAAAAAAGCTCCACTTACTCGTTTCTTTGCTTTATGAAGACCACTAAAATTTAACCATATATAGAAATATTTATTCAATGTTAATTAATTTAAACAAAAAGGAAAATTTTCAAAACGTTTAAGTGCTAAATCTAATAAATTTAGACGGCTAGTTGAACGTCAATCTGAATCAATGTCTGAATTTTCAAGTAATGTTTGAATAAGTGAAGACTAAAATAAAAATTGTACACTATGAGAATCGCTTTAGCTAACTGGTAAAGTACATAGATTTTCTTATTTCCATGATGATGAGTACTATTCGATAATGTTGAAATCGATGATAATGAAGATATGTGTATGACCATCAATTGAACAAAGTGTTCCAAATTATTCAATTTCTTGAATTAGAAAAATTCTATTTAAATAAAAATAGAGATTGTGTCAGTGCAGCTCGTTGAGGACTATAATGTAGAACTCACATGTGTTCTTTAGTCTCATTATACTCCTCCAAAATACTTGAAGTGAAAAAATTTCCACCAAATTATAAATGAATACATGAGAAATCAAATTTTACCCGTTTTTGTTTTTGAAGTTAATATGATTTTCATATTTTTTTCGTCTTTGACTTTCTTTACTTTTTTCGGATGAGTTTCTTTCACCATTTCCTGTAAAGGGTGTGGGTATGGGTTTTTGTCTAGAGAAAACAACTCCACTGTTGAATCGTATCACATCTAAAAACTTCTTCAATATTCGTTTTCTTTTTATTTATACACTTAAAGTCATACAATATATAACTATATAACTTTTAGTGGCAGTTGAGATAACTGCTTTTCTCATAGTTCTCGATAGAGCTAGTTGAGTATGAGTCTGATCTCTTATAATTGGTACTCTTAAAGTAAAAGTCTATAATGATCACATTCATAAATGATCACTATCAAGATGCCATGAGAAATGTGAAATAAATTATAATGAAAAATATTATGAGTAAGAATTCGGCAAACTTTCAAATTTTCGTGTCGCATGTCTCTAAAACTTACACTCATTCTATTTTTCTTCGAAAAGAAAAACTTAACGCGAGTTCTACAAAAAACAAAAACAGTTAATCATTTTATAACCAATTGTTAATGATTATGGATCAATATTAAATAAACTTTGAATATTCCCCAATTGAATAAGTGCAATATATTTTCATGTCGAATGCTTTTCACATATATTCAAGACAATTGGAGAAAAGAAACAGTTAAATGTGTTCATGTTGTTCTTAATTCTTTTGAAAGTTCAATTATTTGAAATATTTCTATATAATCACGATGCGCAGCAAGAAAATCTGACTAAAATTTAACAATAACAAAACGTACTTAATACTATCGGAATCATTTTCTTACTCGACAATTATCGACACTATTAATCCAATGAATTAATTAATAATTCATAATCAATATATGCGGTTAATGTGTATTTAAATAAATCTTGAATAGGTTGTATCATTAAATACAGCTCAATATTGTTCACCTAATTCAATGTTATGTTCACGAATCTATTCGAAATAATTTTTATTTTTTACATTATCTATTCAATGAAATAAAATTACATTAAGATAAACATAAAAACAAGGATTCTTTTTTTTAATCTAATATATGAATCGCTTCCATTGTTTTAGCATAAAATTTTCTAAAATCTATTAGAAAAAAATAAAAGTTATATGAAAAATAATATTGAAATTGATTACAAAAAAATAGTTCATTCGAAAATGAAAGTAACGATCTGTAGAGATGAGTTAATGTAATACAAGAAAATTCAACTAATCATCACTGTTGCAATTAAAATCCAATAGGTGTCCGACTCCAATCGGATCACAAGAATACGATATGAATGATTAGTTCAGTACAGGGCTGCCAGATCTTCCGAATTTTGATACTTTTTCCAAACTCTTTCGAATTTTAAATATTTTTTCGAGATGTGTTATTTCTCTAGATTCGAAATTTAATGACTTTGCTTATAACTTCTAATTTAACTTTCATTAGCAATTCTTGTGCTGTCGTTGTTCCACTGTAATCATTCCATAATACAATTTTGAGACTATTTATAATGTAAGATCGTTTGAGTTTAAAATCTATCCGAACTCAATGAATATCTTGTATTGTTTAAAAAAATGTCATTTGAATCAATAACTTCTTTGACATGGACTGAACTTTAAGTTTAGAAAAGTGTTTTTTTTACATGAAAATTGTCTCTTGTTATCCTGAATTAAATTCAGCCATGAATGATGAAAATGATGATTCAGATGTGAATTTAAGTGAGATTGAAGAAAGAAATACGTATATCGGCAACAATTTTTGCACAAAATGTTGATAGAGCAACACATTTGTCCATAAAAAAGGTGGTATATATTTTTGATAGTAAAACAACTGCTTTCCGAACTTTTTCCGAAGTAGAATATAAAAAATTCCGAATTTTTTCGAATTTTGGTTAAAACATTTCGATTTCTAACTTTTCGATCTGGTAACCCTGGTTTAGTACGAGAAGAATTCCATAATAGTCTACGAAAACTGAAATACATCAAAAATATTAAATCTCGTTACGCTCGATATATTTTTTTTCTAATGATTTTATTCGACTGATAAACAAGCAGAAAAAAATTTATGCATTCTTTTTGAAAACTATTGTTTAATTGCTGAGAAGCGAGTTCGTATTCAGACTTTGCTATCGTATCGAACAATCAAATAATGTTTATAGAAAAAGTATACATAGATTTTTTTCTTACGTATATGACGAGTCAAAATCTTGGGAAAATATCGAGTCTGTTGATACTTAATCATTTTATGATGTTTTTTTTTGCAAATATAGTTTTTGCGATAATAACATTGTTCAAGTCTATTAACAACAGAATATTTTCACAAGTAATTCAACAGACTCTATAATTTTTTTTTTAACTACTAAAATATATTCCATTGAATAATTATCTTACTTGAATAATATTGTAAAATTAATATTAATTTTTATTCGATTTCTCTTATATTCCATTCCAATTAAATACTAATTATATATGTCAATATTTTGTTCTTTATAACAATACTGTCATCTAATACATACTCATTTTTATTAATATTAAAATGTTTCCGAATTTGGTATAGTATTAATTCATATTTTCGTTTTAATAGTTGTATTGAATAATAAATCAGGTAATGGACTATTAATCATATGTTAATGATGAAAATAATAATAATGAAGAAATCTGACGATGTTGTTGTTTAATTATTAATTGTACACATGGATTTATCAACATTATTCATTAAACATAAAATTCTCCAAATCACTAAAAACATTATTATATATACATTTTTTAATCTTTTTTCTTTATTGATTAATACATACTTGTACATGAATAACAAATTGTTGATCTTGATGTGCATAGAATAGATATGTCGATATAAATAAATTTTTATTCAAAAGAAGAATATATCTTGTTTCATTCTTTTCCGTTGTAATAAATCCACCTAACAAAGAAAGATTTTTTCAAACTTCTGTAATGAATTATTTTGATCTAAAATTTTGTCGATATTTAGATATGTTCATCCAAAAAGAATATTATTGTAAAAATTTAAGTGTTTAAAAACTTCCATTGTTTTGTTTTTTTCGACAGTCTATGGAATTGAATCAACTTTTTAAACATTAAGTATGTCTACTAAAGTAATAGTTCGTCTGGTGTAATAAATTTTGTATTTTATCATAACAAATAAAATAATTATACATAAATGTTGTTATTGATATCATTAATAAAAATAAACAAAACAATTTCATTTTCATTCCAAATGAGATACAACCTAAAAAAATTCATAAATAAATCATTATGTATGTTAATGTTAACAAGAGAGAAAGGGAAGAAAAAAGAAATATATATGAAGAGAGGAATTTTCTTTTTCTTTTTTGTCTTTCTCTCGTCCATAAGTCATTGTTCATGTTTGTTATCATTGACGATCAATGATCAACATGTACAATTAAATATGTATATCATTTTCGACGAGAGAAAAAAATGATTTTTCTAGGGTATATATACGAATGATTTTCTATGTAAAATCATTCAAATTTTTGAATCAAATAATAATCATTTTTCTTTTCTGTTTTAGATTGGCTTCAACCAAACAATATGAAACAATTCAACAACAAACCAGACAATAAAATAAAATGTAGGTATTAGTTTTACTTTTTTTTAATTTTACGATCATAAGGATGGCGGGTAAGGCCTCCTTTGATCTTTTTATTATTTTTTTTATTTATTTTAGGGAATAAACAATAAAGAAAAAGATAACATTAGGGTAAGTCATCTCATTCTATTTCATTAAATAACATGATTAAATTTTTTTTCTGTTCCTTTCAGCTATCAATATCATCGCGTCATCAACATCAGACACGGTAAGTCATTTTTTTTTTTAGATGAGAATAGGTAGTGAGATTGAGAGGTTAGGGTGAGACTAAGAAAAGTGAGTGTTAGTGAGAGACGAGAGTGAGTTCTGTTCGTTGAGGGTTAGGGTTTCGTCTCTTATGAAGGACTTCCGGGTAGTCCCTAAAAGCTCGGCCAGGAATCGTCTTGGTGTCCGTGGCACACGACCAGGCTTATTCAGATTCATTGACATATCTCTCGCGGGGAGGATATGAATGATATGAGTCTGTCCTGTGCGTGCATGAGCGTTACCCTCGCCACGGCTCCACCAGGATGCTTCCTGGTCGCGCACGCGAATAGAATAAGCCATTCATTTCAGCAATCCAATGCGATTTATTTGAAACGAAAGGAGCGCAAAAAAAAATAATTCATCGTTTTGAGTCTATTCAATTGAAAAGCGTTGAACACGATAATTCCCATAATCGACGACATAGAGATTGCCATGTCGATCGAAGGACAAAGCTTCGAGACGGTTGAACTGATTTGCTCCTTCTCCTTGACCATTTCCACCCACAATGACAGTGCCCTGTTTCGCTGCTTTAGGCCAACGCATCACTCGATTATTCCACGAGACTGCCACATAGATGGTACCCAATGTATCGACGAACAGTCCGTAAGGATACGACAGTTGTGTCAGAGCATTCCCTTGGCCTTGACCTCCAGCGACGACAATTCCTTCTTTTGCACCTTTATTCCATTTCATTACACGATGATTGAGGCTGTCTGACACGTAGACAGTCTGTTGTTGATCGACAAAGATGTAGGTCGGATAGTTGAGTTGATCAAGACTAGCACCTTTGCCATTGCCACCAGCTACAAGAGTTCCATTCTTGTCTCCTATTTGATATCGTCTTACTTCATGTTTTTCGTCGTCAGAGATGTAGAGATATCTCTGATCATCCATGGCCAATCCCCGACAATGGATGTTGTTGGTGAGAATTTCTCCTTGAGTTGTGCCACTACGACGAGACCATCGTACGACTCGTCGATTCCCTGGATCACAAATAATGAGACTATCCGTCTCTTTGTCGATCAACACATCGGTTGGACCATTCAATTGATCCAATCGATTTTCTTTACCATTGCCACCAGCTACAACTTGTCCATTCGTATCACCCTTCTTCCATTGGATGATACGATGATTGTCGCCATCAGCGATGGCCATCGTTTGATCATCATCGACGAAGAGACCACAAGGCCAGTCTAGTTGATTGGTAGCACTGCCTTGTCCATGGCCTCCAGCAACAGTCACTCCCTTTTGTGCCCATCGGGCATCGGCTGGAATATTGAGAATTACTACAATGAACAAAAAAGAAAAGAAATCGTCGTTGTCGAAGGGATCTCGTCTTTTGTGGGAGTAAGCGCTACAAAATACGACATTCATCTTTGAGAATGCTCGTCCCACAGATAAAAATTGAGAAGTCTTTTCCTAGTTTCTTATGAGAAAAAAGGATTTGATAAAGATTCTTACATCTATGTCACTTCTAGTTCTTGCCAAGATCTTTTTGATCATAAAAACAACATCTGGAGATTGCTGTAAGGAGATTTGTCCGAGAAAGAGTAATGCTAATCCCATCTAAGTTTTTGATAGAAAAACATAGAGATCTGAGGATTTTTTTCAGAATTGCAAGAATTCAGAATCTTTTTGGCAGAATGATCATTTATATGAATATCAGAGAAGATTCTATCTGTATCTTGTGAGAAGAATATCGAATCGTCGAACAACAAAATAGCAAACCTAATCCCTATGTTTATTAGAAAACCTTAAGGATACATGATTTTCTGTATGATGAATGTAGATCTGCCGAAGAATCTCCTAAGTATTTGCATAGAGAATGCCGGTGAAATTTTATAAGGCTTTTGTTAAGTTATGTCAAGCCGTTCGAAGAACAACCGTGATGTACTTTGAGTAGGATCATGAGAAGGCTTGGATACAGGCGAAACTGAACAAAGTTGAGAGGATTCCACGCGAATCTATGTAATCTGAGAGGGGTTCTACTTTTGCAAATGCTGAAAAGATGGATGTCAAACCGAACGGAGCTCTCCAGTGATAAACATTGGGATCTATGGATTTTATGAGCTTTGGAAAGAAAGTGTTTTAAAATGGTATTTTTAACTTTTGATGAACACTATCTTCAAACCATTGCATTAGGGTCCTTGAAGAAAATCTTGATGACTAAATAAGATACTCTGTCAAAATCTGAAAATCTAAAAATACTGAGTATCTTCTATGAGGATCATGCTATAATCCTTATGTAGTACTTGTTCTGAGAAGTCTTCTGTAAGCTGGAATTTTATGGATATATTCAGGAGGATCTGAAGAGTAAGTATTTTGAAATGGTTGATATCAGAGTGAAAATGGAGTAGGAACAGGACAGAATGAAGGTGCCTATCTTTAAATTTTATGAAAACGTTTATAAACCAATAAATTAATATGCTACTAATTTATATCAATCGTAGATTTAATTATGTTCAAAAACTTATGTGTATTTAATTCTCGGATGCCCAATCTAATTTTTGGAGATAATATGATAACATGTATTCATATTTCTATGATTTTGATTGCTGGACTGGTATTCTTGTCCAAATTAGATTGTTTTACTCTTCAGTCTTGTAAAGTAATTATTAGAATTATAGCTTTCCTTTATTTAGAACAGTAAATACAAAAAATTCTCTGAACAAAGTGCTCATCACAAACCGATTCTGGGAGGATTTTCACTGAATTCTTCTGAACATAATGGATATCATAGGCACAAGGGCGGATATATATAATAGAAATCTCGGGACAATAATAATCTTCTCGAAGATTCTGAACAAGAATATTGAAAATAGACTAGATGCGATGCCATGCACAAAAAGAATGCAAGAGAGAAGGGATATGCATGAGATGTAAAGTAGACAGGAAAGAAAAAAGAGAAATGCACTAGAAGAGATCAAAAAGAGACAGTAAAAATAGATACATTTTTTTAAAGATTTTGTCAGATTCAGAATAAAAGATGTCATTGGAAATCTTATTAGATTCTGAGATTAAGAAATATATAAGAACAGAGTAAAGGACTCTGATCTGATTTTATCTGACTAAATAGGATTCACAAACAAAAGAAAGTTATAGCATTACATAATCCAAGTCTTGTCTGCTCTTATTTGATTCTGTGTGATCTATCATGTTCTTTTACTTATTTGAGAATTGTTGATTCAATAGTTTCTATTATGGAGAAATGTACAAAGTACACAAAATTGTCCTGCGCAAGGCAATGTTTTCTATTAATGGAATCGTAAAATCATATTTGACTTCAAAAATAAATGCTTTGTATAATAGATTAGTCAAAGTACAGATATATCTCGGAAATTTTCACATAATAGAGAACGTTTTTCTTCACAAAATATTTCGACAGAAAAAATATCGATGTCGAAGTTTTTCTAACACTATCAGGAGATAAAAAATAAAGTTTTTTTCTATGTATCCTCTACTATATACTGGAACATATATTTTTCGTATTCCTTATTTTTCTATATTGAAAACATACAACAAAATATTTTTATATTTGTTATTTGTCTATATATCCCCCTGGAAAAAAATAGTTAGACTCGGTATTTTCGATATATTGTTACTATAAATTGACATTTTGAAAAAAGTAATTATATATTCGGATAGCCCGTGGAATTCTCTACAACTCTCTATGTATAAGTTTTGAATTGCATTTGTTTCCTGGAAATAAATTCAAGAATACTACAGGTACCCTTATTGCCAGATTCCCACAAAAATTTGCATCTCATTGATTTTTTCAAATTTATTTCCAGGAAACAAATACAATTGAAAACTTATACATAGAGAGCTGTAGAGAATTCCACGGGCTATCCGAATATATAATGACTTTTTTCAAAATGTCAATTTATAGTAACAATATATCGAAAATACCGAGTCTAACTGTTTTTTTCCAGGGGGATATATATCACATGTAAATTATCATCCAAAATCGATTATACTTAATCGACATTCACTATCGTTCAATATCAAAGTAAAATAAATAACATAGTCGATATCAGTACAAAAACTACAACAGAACATACACTGAATGCCTTTAGTTCATCAGGGATGCATTTTTCATGAATACTTTTCTTTAAGCTGTAATATCTCTGATTTGACGTATTTTTTTGTATTAATGTCAAATATACTATTCAGTTTGGTCTAACATAGAGCTAGGATGAAAAAAAAATCGATGAAATACACCAATTCATTTTTCAAAGTTTCCTATGATTTTATGATTGAAATTTAAAACAATCTATTTTCTCAATACTAAAACAAAGTCGAAAAATCAAATGATATAGAGACATTTCATGTTCGACGTTCAATGATTCTAATGAGAGATGACACTGAATCTAAACTCTTCTCATTAAAGAGAAACATGTATTTATAAAAATATCTATCGACATATGATTGCTTTCGTAAATGTCGAAATCCAACCCTTATTTTAAGTAGATATCTATACCTATCCACTAGTTGAACGATCTTTCCCTAAAATTTATGATAGAATTACGTTGTCTGTCACATGATCTATATAAATAGTATAGAATGTATAATGTGTAGTCGGAATATAGGGTTTCATATAAGACAAACAAATCAAAAAAAATTTGTTTAACTTCATTGAAATCAGAAATGAAATGAATGGAATAGGTCTTTTTCTTTTTACCATGTTCAATCATTTCAATTCATTTTCATTCCAATTATCAATAGGCCAGTTTAATAAAATTATGTTTATGAGATATAATATGATATGTGACTATGTTTGCGATAATAATCAAATTTCATACGATTTCATGTACGTAGTCTGCGTTTGTCGAACAAACGACCGTGCTTACGCTAATGTCTAATAGAGAGTGAATAAAAATTAACCACCTTATCAACATAGAAAATTAAAAGAAATTACATGACGATGAAGAAATGAACATTTTCATGAACTAAATACCATAATTGTATTTTTGATTTAGAAGCCATGAACATGATGAAATTTTATTAATTATCGAATTTCATGTTCAACCAGATCATAACTCTCTAGTAAACTTTCTCGAAAAGATGAAACCCTGGCATTCTAATTTTCAAACTAAATTTTCACATGAGTTGCTTAAGCTATTGGGATAGACATGGAAAGGAATGAAAACTTCGTTCTGATGCTGAATATCGGTTTTCTATTGATGAATTTTCAGATTTCGTAAAAGAAATTGAGTAATTTTCCGCACGGCAACTACGATAAAGTAAGCAGATATTTTTGAAAATAAACTCATAAAAATATGTCGGAATTATTACGAAAACAAAATCATAAAAGTATTTTCAAGCGAATATATCTGTTCAAGATTTTTGATTTAAGCTAAATGAAACTGAACTCACAGATCTTTGAAAATTTTTTTGATTTTATTCAACTCAACTCATGAGTTAGGAAGTTTTTCTTTCAGTTTGACTCAATTCAATTCGAATCATGTATTGAATTGCCTAGTTTTTGAATTGAGTTGCTCAGTTATGAATCGAACGTATAGTAACATGTAAATATATACGATAAAAAAAAAAGTAATTCTACGTTTAAGAAACTCATCTAACTACTGCGTATTCTGTGAAAGTAACATATATGAAGATTGTTTTTTTAGATTTCGAACAATGTTGAATCTTTTTTATGTATTTTTAGAATATCTGAAGTTGAACAGATATAAAGAATATATATCTAAACTATCATCTAAAATTGCCTATACTGAATTGACATCATTATTAAAATATATGTGTTATTGGAAAATATGTTAGAATATATTTATCAATTTTTTTTTGTTGGGATACGAACAAAACTAGTCGCACACACTCACTGTAAGTCATTTTTATCATTGTGTTCTTAAATAGATTTAAACGTGATTTTTCTTACATGATGAAGATAAAAATATAATGAAAAAGAATGAATAAATAAATTTGATAAAGTTATTTAAATATTTTTACTAATAATGTGCCCTTTTAACAAGGACTTAGGTGAGTACGATACTCGGTAACTTGTAGATGAATGCAACAACGAGAACGAAGTACTACTATTTTCTAATGAAGAAAAAACAAACATCTACTTGGAAAGAACACAAAATGCAACGAAAAAAGTAGAAATCATTTTTTTGATCGATAATTATTTCTTGAAATGTTTTTGTAACGTTACCATCAGAAAATGTTACATTAAGATATGTAATATTGCTAAAGGCATTCTCTTCTAAGTGTATATGGTTCGTCTGATTTCGCTAATTTTAATGATTTCCATTTGATACTCATTGAA